CAGAAAGAGTCTACCCTCCATTTGGTCCTGCGTCTGCGTGGTGGTATGCAAATCTTCGTCAAAACTCTTACTGGCAAAACCATCACCTTGGAAGTTGAACCATCCGACACAATTGAAAACGTCAAAGCCAAAATCCAGGATAAGGAAGGTATTCCTCCAGATCAACAGCGTTTGATTTTTGCCGGTAAACAGTTGGAAGACGGCCGTACTTTGTCCGACTACAATATTCAGAAGGAATCGACTCTCCATTTGGTGCTTCGTCTTCGCGGAGGCGCATTCTAAATTTAAATGGAAACAACCAAATTCAAAATTCAGAGTATTCATGCATCTCGTTAATTTAGCTCTATTTTGTATTTTAACGCTTTAAATCAGTTCTGAGTAAAAATTGAAATATACCGTTTTTTATGTTTTAAAAGAAAATAAATTTTCTGATGCATTATATGAGGAAAAATTTGTTATTTTATTGGTTGGATCTGTTTGTTTATCTAAAGATGACTGGACATTTTCCTAGGTAGGTATTATTTCAGCATAGGAATGTAAAATATCTTGCAAAGCTGGTTTGAAAAAGTGGGCGTGGATAAAGATCTCATTAAACAATGGTTCGAATACAGCCTTGGTTTTCCTGCTTAGGCAAAGGTGGCATCTTTTTTCCTTGAAGTCCGATGAGATTTGGCGATTTTAGAAAAGAGCATTGATTAGGCATATTTTGATTTAGGCCTCGTTTTTTTCTTGCAAATGGGTCAGTTCGTAAATGCCTACTTCAAAAAACGGCGCTTTTCATTTCTAAACTAATTGTTGGAAATGTCCAGCAAGCATACGGTACGTTCAGAAATGCATCAAGCCAAAGCATCAGTCTGGGCCTGTGCGAGGTACGTAATAAAAGCGGCATTACTGCCGTTGTTGCAACTGCTCAACTGATAATACATTGCTAGAAATTCACACAGAACGTGATACTTTAATAATTTGCTCAACACTGCGGTTGTGACTGCAAACTCGAACAACTAAGTTCCAATTAGGCATTTAACCGTGGTTGCGCATATTGCGCATTTCCATCAATTATGGTTCAGAAATAAATGCGTCTGATGCTTTGGCTTGATGCATTTCTGAACACACCCATAATCACGTTTAGACTGGACTCACACAGAGAAACTTTTATTGCTCATTTTCGGCAACTTCTCGGGAAATGTTTAGTTATTGGCCCATCGTTTTTGGGGTGGGGGGGCGGAGGGGGAGGGGGCGTGGCCCCCCAAACCCCCCTCATTCGAAAGGGGCCAGTCGCCACTTTACGAAAAGCCCCACCCCCTCCTTGGGGACCTCCCACAGACCCCTAGGGAACCATTTGAAAATGGGGTAAAAACGGCATTTTCCGAGGCAAACTGAGCAGTTTGAAGTGGAATATAACCCAACTAACAGAATGTGTGGGGTTTTTAAATAAAAAAAGTTATCCCAAGGTGGTTATCAGGCGAATAAAGGAGGGATAAACACCTTTCGCAGAGAACACCTTTGTGCGTAGGCGGCCTTCGGCCGCACTTAGGGATTATAACCCTCAGGCAGTAGAATTCTCCTTTCTGTGTAGCCAAAGAAGGGGGGCTGAACACCTTTTTGCAGAGAACACCTTTCTGCGTAGGCGGCCTTCGGCCGCACTTAGGGATTATAACCCTCAGGCAGTAGAATTCTCCTTTCTGTGTTGCCAAAGAAGGGGGGCTGAACACCTTTTGCAGAGAACACCTTTCTACGTAGGCGGCCTTCGGCCGCACTTAGGGATTATAACCCTCAGGCAGTAGAATTCTCCTTTCTGTTTTGCGAAGAAAAGGAGCTGAATACCTTTTACAGAGAACATCTTTGTATATTTTTAATGCTTACAGGGTTATATCCTATTTTCTTTTGTCTCTCATTCTTTTGCATATTTTGGAGTTTGACAGCTGAACTACGCCATTTAATTTGCATATGCAACAAAAGTCAGACGCATGATTTAGAAGGTGTTTTTATTTAATAAATTGTGATTAATTGGTTAATATTAAAGTTATAAAGAAAGTTATAGCTCATCGAGTAAAGTGTAAAGTGAAGGAGAATATAAAAATATATTGCTGATGTAGCTGCTTTAAGGAGAATAGGAGTGATAAATTTACGCTAATTTCCGAATTTTACAAAAAAGGGCATATTTCAAACCCAATTTGTAAATAAATTAGTGACCCACAATTACAATAGTGGATGTTAAAATAATGGGTAGACCCTTGGCTACAAGTGTGTGCAATTTTTTTTTGGATCGGGTCACCCCTTTGGACGCAATACCCCGAAATAGGTGGGCCACTTACTAAACAGTACCCAACTTCTCTTTGGTGTTGCCCTTCGCGTTCACACAGCAACTATTTTGTACACAATTGTTGTCAGCTGTGTACCGCCAACTTGAATTGCTCAGACGAACGAGACCACAAAGCATGTTGCCCAAGCACGAGCTACTCGTCGCCGTTTCCCGCAAACTTCGAGTTGTCGCAATTGTTGCTGTCCGCAAACTTGAATTATAGCTCAGTCATTCATATTTTGCGTTGCACTGCATAGCATGTCATTTCTCCATGTCTTCACATAGAAATCCAAACCAACGGACATGTACATATGTAATGCTGTGCGATAAGTAGCCGCTTACACACAAAGCGCATTTAATAGATTTCTTATGTGACAACTCTTATGCAACGCAAAGTATGTATAACTGAGGCATTACTCAGACGTACGAGAGCACAAAGCGTGTTGCCCGTGTACCAAGGCGCATCCATATAAGGTGGTGGCAATTGCATATAAATAAAAGTCCCGTTTATTTTGTTATTGATTTTTGGTACTTCAGGATGTCAAAACGAAAGGGAATAGGAGATAATTTTCGCAATTTCGTTTTGTTGACATCCTAGAGTTATGCCATTTCGTCTTGGATGACATTGTCTCGTACTAGTGTAGAGACGAAAATATCCAATCAGCTACAAGCTTCGAGTTGGCGCAAAAAAAGTTTCCGTGTCTGAACATCGACTAAGCAACTCAGCTGACTAGCAGCTGTCATTCTTTATTTGAGTCTTTTGGAGATTCGTTTGCTGCTTTTGGGTCATCCTTGCTTTTGGTGCGTGTTGTGTAAAAAGCTGAAAATTCCAAGTTATAAATTCCGGTTCTATTCATAATAAAATGGCGGCACCAAAAACATATAACCTGGAAGCTGTGAAGCAGCATAATACTCCAGATGATCTCTGGATAGTCATCGAGGGAAAAGTGTATGATGTGACAAAATTCCGAAACGAGGTATTACAAAGATTAATGGACTTTAATTTGCGTACATTTATGTTCATGTGTGTATATAAATATGCATAAAATAGCATCCTGGAGGCGAAGAAACGCTGGACGAAGTGGCTGGTCGCGACGCAACACGTGATTTCCTGGATGTGGGGCATAGCCAAGAGGCGAGGTTAGCAAATTATTTAAAAATACGCAAATGACCTACAGTTAGTTCTACAACAAAAATTCCAAAAATCTGAGTTCCAAATCTTGTACAAAATTAAAGAAAATTATGCAAAATTTCATTCAAATATTGCAATTTTTATTTACATTCTTTAGAAAAAAGTTTACTACGCATTTTTTTAACCCATTCAATTTTAGTACAATAAAGTGCAAGTATAAGGAAGCTAGGACCTACCAATGATTTTTGGTAATTTTTTTTTGTTTAAGGTGTCGCACATTTTTTCCATATGAAAAAATTATCGAACATTATTTTATAAAAATTTGCTGAATTTTTTTTAGTTTTGCATAAGGTTTGGAACTCTGTTTTTTTGGGTTTTTTGTTGTATAATTAACCATATTTTTATAAAAAATTAGCCAAAAATAAAGTTTGCCGGTATTGTAAAAAATTTGCTGTACCTAAACTTTATTGACTGATTACATAAATAAAATTGAAATTGCGTGATATTTTCTTTTCAGGCAAATACTGAAAAAGTACTACATTGGTGATCTGGAGGCCAGCGACTGGACAAGTAAATTACCAGTAAGGTAAGTGATCTGCTCCTTTTGATAGCATAAAAGATATTGCGCTTGCATGTTTTACGTATTTAATTAATAAGTAAAATAAATTTATATTTCATGTCATTCTAAACTAACAAAAAATTGCGTGATAAGCACGTCATAATGGCAAAAGTGGGCTATAATTGATTAGAAAAAGAACAAAGACAAAAAATCTGCAAGGAAACCCGGTTTGGTGAAACTGCTAAATTTGAAAAGCAACAAGAATCTTGAAATGACAGTGTCTCCATTAGTTTGGCCGTAATTAACCACCCAAAAATGATCCAATCCTCTACTTTGCTCACAACAATCAATTCTTGGTGGCCATGCATGCAGTTTATTCATTTGCCATAATTAAATTCGCATTGTATTATACATAACTGCGCAGCAAAAACAATGATCGCAATATAATAGTCCAATATTTACATATCCATTTACATACGCATATACACATGTATAAATATTCAGACGATTACGTCATAATAGTAAAGGTTCTGGACAATTGTATGTAAATCATAAAGCTTTCATTTTGTGTATGCATTTGCAGTATTCATTTACTAAGGCCTGCTTAAGTGTTCTTCATAAAGCCATATAAATTCATAAAAACTCATTAAAATGCATCTCTTGATATTTGAACTCTTATCAAATTAAACTGATAGCCGTACGCCCTCTTGTTGCAAATATTTAAAGCCTCAACTGATAAACACCCCTATTGCGAGTCTTCACTATTAGTAGGTAAACGACTGTCAGTCGATTATCGATTATCCGTGGTTTTCTCAAAGTCGTTTTCTCGTTCAATAAGTGAATGAGAATAGTTTATAGTCGCTCATCCTTCTACAAACAAGCATTTAAAAATAAAAGTTATTCACAGACGCTTATTGAACGAGACGCTTATTGAACGAGAAATCGAAATACCATGGAAAAGCTATAATCGAATAAGAGTCGTTTATCTACTACTAGTCGACACTCGAAATAAGGGTGAAATACTAAGCATAAGTTTTATAAAATGGCTAAAACGAAAAAATACTTTTGTATGCCCGTTCCATCGACATTACTTTGGAAAGCGCTATTAGACTATTCTTTATAAATATTGTAGCCTGCTAGCTTTTATTATCACTTTCAATTAGGAACCAGTTTATTCTATTGTAATATTTGAAAACCCAACCTTGTACATATCGAGCTCTAACCGTGAAAATAAGGTTACCGACATTTCTGCATCAAAAAGAAAAATTTGAGAAAGAATGTCGGTTACGTTATTTTCGCGGTTAGGGCTGGATATGATAATCATCGTGCACGGCCATTACTATACAATACAATATAGTTTTGTGTTCATTATTAGTAAACTCCTAGGATTAATTAAAATTATATCTTTTATAGTTTCAAATATTTTTCTACCAAAAAAGTAAAATTTTGTAAATCATAAAATCATGCGTAAGTTTAACCATAATTTGTATGCATGTTTACCTAATATAAAATGTTTAAATAGCTGTGATTACACTTTAACTCAAAACATCTGAACATCAACACTTTCATACGGCACACCTCGCGTTCGTGGGTTTTCTTTGTTTTTGTCTTTGTTGGTTGCTTTGCTAAAATACGATTTTCTTTTACTGCTTCCCAAACATAAACCAAAACAGCACGCCATCAGTGTCACCTACAACACCAACACCACCAAGCCAGTCGGCAATAATTACGCCGGAAGCGACGGCCACGCCCACTGTTGGCAAAGAAGTTGTTGCACCGCCAGAAAAGCAATGTTGCACGCTCGCTTAAATCCGATCGCATGAACTATCTGCTTAATCTTTAAATGAAACCAGTTTTCGAATTGCTCTAAAAATTTATGTATATGTTATAACACTTTACAAGAACTTAACGCATTTTTTAAACTCAATGTGTGTCGTACCAAATTCTAGAATTTTAACACATTTTTTCCTCCTCAAATTCACAACAGACATATTTGCTGTGCCGTTGGAGCGTTCGCTACTGGTCTGCTCCTGGTTATCATCATTCGCAAAGTTTTAGCCGGCAAGTGAAACCAATAAAATTTGCAGCAAGTACAATGACACCGAAAATTTAATTAAAACGAACTGGAACTGCTAGCTAAAATGCCACAAAGTACTCAACATTTCCATAAATAGCCTGACCTGCAGGAAAAGTGTAATATACAATATGTAGTCGTAATTTTGTATAAGAGTTGTTACTTAGTGCAGTTATTAAAAAAGAAAATGCACGTACGATACGCATTAATATGAAAAGTAAAAAATATTTATATGAAAAATCAAAAACAAGGGGAAATATATACGAAAATCCGGTTCATTTAGCGGAAGTTGTAACAACGGGGATATAAAATAAAAACCGTGTATGTATATATACGAAATTTCCATGTATTTCAATTCAAACTCTTTTATATTATTTGTATGTGACTCATATTTATTTTTATTACTTTTATTCAAAAAGGTATACATAGTGATTCGTTTGGAAGAATATATAAAATTTTAGTTCAATTCAAGCCAACACCCTAAACGCTACACTTTAAATACCAATTTCTTCAAACTCAGTTCAAAGCTCCCAGCCATTCAACACTCTCCACAATTTATCATGCGAAATTTAAAACAATCATACGTCGTTAACACAGGTAAAGTCCCATATCTCTCGCGCATATCCTCCTTTTCAAGCTGCATCCATGAAGGCCTCGTTCAGCACCTTTAGATTGCGCTCATTCACCGCATCATGCAGCTCGCTGCGACCCATCAGCGAAATTACCATTTTCAATGTACTCCAAATGGACTCTGACATCTGTGCTTGACCCCCACCTATGGCACCCGCGTCGGCTGGCAAATCTCGGGTAGCTGCTGAGCTGTCTGCCTGCATATTCAGCGCTGTGAGCAGATGTTCAACCGCTTGCTTGTACGCCTTCAGATTCATGCAGCATACGCCGACGTTGTAGCGCACACGAATGAAACCCGGTTCGAGTTGTAGCGCCCGCTGGTATGCTTCCACTGCCTCTACAGAACGCGAGCCATTTGCTAAGCTGGCGCCTAAGCGGTTCCAGACTTTAGCATTCTGCGGATCAACGTGCAGCGCAGCACGAAAGCAATCGACTGCCTTATCGTACTCGGAGGATAGGTTGTAGAGCACACCCAAAGCTTCCTGAACGTCTGCGTCTACCACCTGTGGATTCAAGCGCACCGCGTCGAGAAATAAATTCTGTACAGCTTCTAGTTTACTACCCGTAACCAGTGAGGAAGCTACACCGCCGCCATCAGTTTGCAATTCGGGATGCTGCTGTAATAGGTGTTTGTATTTCGGATTAACCTGCATCCAGTTGACCAGCATGCGGAGTGCTTGACTCTGCAGGCTCTCATTAGTGTAGCAGACGGAGAGTGCCATTAACACACGATTGTTGTCCGGTCGCAGCTCCAATGAACGCTTCAATGCAGCTATGCTTTGTGGATCCATTTCGTTCTCAGCCTGCGCGAGGCCCAACAATTCCCATGCTTCCGCGTTTTCAGGCTCCTTCTTGGCAGCTGCTTCGAAGCAGAGTACTGCGCTTGGTATGTCGCCCCTTTGCATATACTCCTTGCCCTTCTCCAAAGCGTTTTCTAGCATAGACATCGGGTTTTCCTCGGTGAATTCGTACTCTTTGTAAGGGTCATAATTTTCGCCATATTCGGATAACCAGGGATGCTCAGAGCTCTCAGATAATTTTTGCCACTCATCCTGCAGGCGCTGCCAGAATGCCTCATTATAGCTGCTGGTAGATTGCTGTCTCTCTCGCGCACTCTCTTGATAATCTTTGATCCAGTTCTCGATATACTCGTTAGTTTGCGTTTGTGGTAACACATTTTCAGACCCTTCGTTGGCTTCCTCAAAAAACTTTTCTGTACTGGGCTGATAGGGCGGACAAATGGCAAGGTGCGGCGGCGGGAGCGGCTGAAGTGACATACTGGGCGCTCTAGGCAAATGCCCAATTAAAGACGCGGATGTGCCTGGTGCGTCTTCATCGAAAAACTCACGCACAAGAACCAGCTGCTGCTGCTGTGGCTGCATGTGCACCATTTGTGGAGCAGGGGCAGGCAATGACTTTTGCTGTTGCATGTTGAACTCCTTAAACCACTGATCCCTAGTTACATCGTCTATTAGACTTGGCGCCGGTTGAAGATGCTGCACACCCATGGTATTTGCCTGTTCAATTTCACGCATCTCTTCTAGTAGTGCGTTCATTTGAAAAGACTGTGGTGGTGCGGCCACTTGTCCTAGAAATTCACTGACCATTTGTTCATCAGGTCGCATACTGCGTTCAAATTGGGCATTAGTGAAGCCTTCATCCTTACGACCGGCATCTCGTGTGAATTGGCCACCGAGTTGCATGAGCGGATTAACGCCACCACAATCGCCTTCAACAAGTTGCCTCAGCGACATCTTAAAAGTCGTGTAAATAGAATATTTAGGAAAATAGAAGTTGTACTGAGTGTTTCTTTAAAATGTCGCCAATAATTCCGAAGAACTGCAAAGGATTCTCTACTTGATTGATATGCAAAGTCTAATGTCCACAACAAAATGTAAATATTTTGACAGTTCCGATAAATAGCAACAATTACCAGCTGATTTGGAGATATCGATAAAGATATGTAGACTTGACAGTATCGAAATAAAGTCGATAACAAATTAACTGTTAATCGTTTCCTTTCCCTGATTTTGTATAGATTTTGTTAATAGCTTTGTTTCTTAACAGATAATTATCACAAATTTTACTGGATTCTGCTGGAAAGCGTTTCTTAACACAAAAAAATTTGCAGAAGAGAGCCAAAAAGAGAGCGTGAAAAACCGAGAGAGCTTCAAATTTCTGCTGGCGAAAGTTCTGCCAACGGAAATTTGCAATATGTTTAAGAAGCAGTTGTTCAAAACGCACAAGGAAAAAGTTCGCAAGTTTATTTTACTTCGTTTTAATAAAACAAAATGAGTGCATCATTATCAAAACACAATAGCGGTATTCTCTGAGTCTTGCAAAGCCCTTGCACGGTGCACGGATTGCACGGTTTGCAAAGCTGTCCAATACGAAAACCGGTTTTTACCGTGCAATCCGAGCAATCTGTGCACCATGCAAGGGCTTTGCAAGACTCAGAGAATACCCCTATTGAAATATTGCAAAATGTAAGGATTTGTGCAGATTTGTGCATGCATTTGAAGATGTATGTGTGTGTGTGTGTGTGTATACTGTGATTGCTACTGTCAACAGTTGTAAAAAGTTAAGAAACACTCCTAATATCAACTTAAATTTTCGTAAAATCATGTTTTTTTTTTTTAAGCAATGACAAGGCGTCAGCATACAACATTCTTTTATTTACACGTATGTAGATTATTTTGGAAATCTTTAGTTATTTGTACAACGATTTAGCGGTGGGGGCGGAGGGGGAGGGGCGGAGCGTGGCTACCGCCCCAGTGATGTAACCTTGGGAAAGGATGAGGTAACTAGAATTCACTTTCTGTGTGGTAAACCTGGGGCTGTCGGTCCAGTGATGCCTATTTTGGTTACTGGGTGTTTTATAAAAATATTTTGTATATAAAAATGTAGATATATACAAATTTATAACAAAAATTTGCATTTCCAACCGACATTATTGTTAAATTAGAGCACAGATTTAGTAAATTAAATTTTTGTAATAAAGCGTGAACTGTTGTCAACAAGTGTGTGTAAAAGTTTTTTGATTCGATTCACGCGTTTGGGCACAGCAACCCAAAATCGTTGTACAAATTCATAAAGAGTACCCGATTATTTTTCTAATATAGTTTCGCTTCATTTTGCTGGGCCCGAAGAATCCGTATTTTCGAATAAATTATATCCCAGTCGACATATGTGCCAATTAAATGTCGTTTATTGTAAGGCGTGTCTTCGTATGCTGTGCGTCCATGAAGCATACGCCTATTGTTGAAGACAAAGACATCGCCAGATGCCATTTTGAACTCCACAGCCTCTGCATAGGCCAACTCGACGAACTTGTCGTAGGCTTCATACCAGGGTGCGACCTGCTCAAGTGGTACTGTGAAGTGACTATCGCGTTTGGTGCTGTTCTCATTGATGCGGTGATAACAGCCATCCACGTCCAAACTAACAATAAATTGTTAATTTCATGTGAATGCGTTTAATTTAAAATTAACGAGTGGATGCTTACCAAATCACTGGTGAGCGCCAAATATTATGAAACGCCACGCCATTGTCTTCGCCCAAGTCATACCAGTCAACTGGTGTTTTTACGAGTATTTCGTAAAATTTTGGAAACTCGTTGCGTAATCTTTCTGCGGTGTAGAAGCCATCGGCCATAATACTACTGCCACCAAGCGACTCGGACTGTACATAGCAGTGTATTATATTGATTCCAGCTTTATATTCGTAATATGGCAAATCGGTATGTAGAGGCAGAGGAGCCATTAGGTAGGCGTAATTTCTGGCATTCTCTTTGGATTTTACCTCAAACTCTTCACTGTTCATTTAGTAAACGAAAATAATTAAATTATTAACGATTTCATAATGGAATTAATTACCCATAAGTGGTACGTTTTATAAAGCCTATATGTTCGGACAGTTGTCTGGCCACACTTATATCGTGTGGTGCATTTTTTATAAAGCAAAAACCTATTATCGCCAAACATTCCAGCCAAGCCAAAAGAGCTATAGATAAGTTTGGACTCTGTTATTCATGGTGGTATACACAACTTTAACTCACCTTCATCCTTTTCCATAACCTCTGTAAATTCGAAAGTACGAATTAGGTTTGGAAATTCCTTCTTTGACCACAACTGGCATGGTGGTCTATAAATCTCTTCAATGTAGCGCTTGCGATTCGTCGGTGCAAAATCTCTGTTCCGCAGCCAGTCTAGCGTGAAGCTCGATCTATGGTCGTCCCACCAATCAATTGTTACTTTCTTTTGTTGGCAGACATTTATGCTCCGAATACGCGCCTCTACATTGGTACGTGTCCAGTTTGCTTGTCGACTCTTAGTATTCTTATGAAAGCAGGCGCTGCACTGACAGTTGTCGCGTAACCAAACACTGGGAAATTTTAAAGGTGAGCCAAGATCCGGTCCCTGCAGTACAACGACATTTCCTCCGGCCACAGACGCGGTAAGTTGGCGATGCAGCGGCCAGCACTTCCGCGTAGCGGTTAGTTGGTGAAAAATGCTCTTGATAAGTTGCCTTGTGAACATCTTTATATACCACTCTACACTGTGAGACAGTTGCATTAATGTGATATGTAAGTAAACGTACGTTGATTGTTGAGCTTGATAACGCGGTTGGGGAGAGAAAGTTCATTGCTTCTAAGCGTATATTAATATTTATATTACAAAAAGTGCTTTTGAGTATTGAAAATAAAAGTATGTACTTTATTTTAGCATATTTGCCTTACTAGAAATTATTCTCTGCGATATATGTATGAAAGCTTAAATAGCCCGAAGTGCAGTTTAAATTTTAGTTCACGTTGTAGAATTTGTGTAGTAAGCGTCCATTTTCTTATACTATAAAAGAAAAACTGTCTAAATCCGCTTGCCATTTGAGCTTTATACCTAGAAGCTAACCAAGTTGTTAATTTTTCCTAAAGGCGTTGTTGCAATATGCTAGTTTTGTTTATGTTCCGTATTTTCATTTCCAACAGTAATAGATTCCACCACAGACTCGTCGTTCTCCAACCAGAATTTATGATCCGGATTTACTACATACTGACGCCTAAATCCACACTGGCGACATGTCAACTGCAAGCTCGTGTTTTCATCAATGTCTTCTGCAATCTTTGCAGATTTTCGACGCCTCCGACGAGAGAGTGCATTCAAATCAGCGGTGATACCCGGCTGCAACGCAAGGGAGCAACGCTTGCAAAACTGTCGTTTTAAGTCCGGATCACTGTGGTTGTATTGCGATAATTTATACGTACTATACATATATTCAAATAATACTAATTTTTTAAACAATTACTTACATCCTAAGCACAGCTTTTTTGCCAATGTTCCGACACAGCTGGCCATAGTAAGCAGCTAAAGTGTTGTTCCTGCCTGCCATCAACATGGATGCTTGATAGAGAAAATTCATTCGACTAAAGCATTCTTTTCCTTGAAATGCTTGATGTTTTTTGCCGGACATGTTATTATTTATTAACCACGCTATTACAAATGGAAAAATATGCACAAGCCAGCATAAGGCTTAAAATTACGCTCTTCTTCTTCTTGAAAGACCCACCCAGCGTAAAAGACAAAAAGATTTACTGTACAATTTTCTAACGTGAAGAAATTCCTACGTTCTATAAACAAACGAAATTATATTTTATATTTATCTTGCGGTTTTCGCTTTGTGATATATGTATCTATAAAAATTTAAAGGAATGGACTAGGCTTACAGGTCCTGTTGGCCTTTGTTTACAACTATTGTGAATAGCTGAAAGTGGTTGATTGTTGGTCAGGGATTTTTTACTTAAATATTCACGCCTGATGGGTAAATTAATTACTGCAGCCACATGAAAACAAGTCATTGGGTAGTACCACATACATACATCTTGAAAATAGGTGCATATGGCGTTGAATGAATGTAAATAGCAGTATTTATTAAATCATATTCTAGAAAATAATTGTATCTATTTTAATCATGGCTCCTTCGCATTGTTTCGACGTTGTTTTGCTACAGTATTAATAGTACCATCCGTATTTCTATGCAGAGAATAAAAATGCTTCAACAAAATTCGTATGGAATAAAACTGTTCTTTACAAATGAGGCAACTGTAGGCGCGATAAGGTGTATGACGTAATTGTTCATCCCACAAGAGCTGATAATTCGTGCATCCATCTAATACGCGATCACAAAGAACGCAGTATGGTCGTAGGCGTCGTTTTTTGCAGCTCCGATTTGTGTCGGCCGATGCGCCGAAATTGGCTATGATTAATGCCATTTGTGGTCCTCTAAAGAAGTCATGATTTTCATTGATATGTAAACGCCAGCCTTCCGGACTTCCAAATTTTACTCCACAAATCGGGCAATTGAATTCCATGTGTGGTAGAAATTTGGCCCGAGCATCCGTAATGTTAATGGTCATATCAAATTTTGCATTCTTTGGGCGCAAATTTGCCGGTAGTATGGCCTCCTCGTAGGTTGCTGCATTTTTACAGTGCAGCAGCAACATATGCATCTTAATTTCGTTGGAATAATTAAAGTGAAGATTGCAAATTCCACAACGGAAAGCTCTGCTACGTAGATGTGTCAGATAGTGTTTTCGCTGACATTCTTCCAAGTTGTTACCAGATAAAGTGGTAGCACATACTTCGCAAGTGGTAAAAAGATAAGTTTTCTTCTCAATGGCTTCGTCTATATTGGCCGTTTTAAACTTAAGTTTGTCCTCCGCAAAGAGCGCATGCTTGTCGGTTACGTGGCACATCCAAGTATCGCGGTGTCTAAAGGTTGACTGACATTCAGGACACATATACAGCAAAAATTTTTCGTAATCTATGCCCTCGCTCAATGAAAACCGTTTAGGGCGTACAATTTTTCCATTGATTTTCGCTTTAAGCATATGTACTTCCATATGCCGCCTAATATGGCGATCCATTTCGAGGCTTGTACATTCCAAATGATCACATAAACTACATTTGTAAAAAGCATTGAAATTCATGTGTGAAAAGCTGTGATGCAAAATTTTTTTATAATCCAGTTGATTGAATTCGGCTAGACACTTTCTGCACCGAAAAACTTTTCCATCTGAAAAAAAAAACAATTAAGGCAATGTCTTTATATTCGCATTGAAATTACCTTCGTCCAAGGTGCCTGGAAGCATTTTTAAATTGTTGAAGAAGTGCACGTTATGCAAATGCTGTTGCCAAAGGGCAGATGATGGAAATGTTTCACCGCAGCGTGGACATAGGAAATGTGTGAAGATTACTGGGTTAACATTTTCCATGGCTTTTGCCATAGCTATCTCCATAAGGGATAATTCTTCTTCGGCGCCCTCTATTTCATCCATCGAATCTTCATCCAAACGATTGATGTCTTCTATGGTGACCTCCGTAGAATCTATCGGCATGTGCACGCCGGAAAATGGATCTCCAATCTCTATAGGATCCATGTTTAATTTAATGTAGCAATGAACCTAGTCCAAGCAATACCAGAATCTATGTATGTTTTTTAGAATTCTCTTTCAGATTTATACACTGTACTATTTTAAGACGCACTCGGCGCTTAAAATTTTTTTTTTTGTAGTATTGTTTACATCGAATTAGGTATTTCAGAAAAACATCGATGCGTAGAAAGTATCGATGTTTTGCTTCGATGCATCGAAAATTTTAAACTCGATTTATAAAAGCACCAGTCCTATTGCTAAAAAGGTGTTCGCACTTGGCAATTGTGCGTTCAACTTTTGCTTTCAACTCACGCAGGGTTGCACGAAAAAAAGTTGAATGGCTAATGTTGACTGGCGACCAACTTTGTTGAAAGCGATTAGGTGAAAGGCCGTTCAACCAAAAGTAGAATGCAAAGTTGAACAATGCAAACGCCTTTCATGGCGAATATTTTGATATTTTTTATATTTTGATATTTTTAGCCATTCATTTTTTTTTTCGTGCAAACCTGCCTGAGTTGAACGCAAAATTTGCCTGAAATATCGCCGCGTGCGAAAGCCCTATAATTCTGTGTGAGTTATAGGGAATTTACATGATTCAACTTTCACAGCCGATTAGTTGAACCAAAAGTTGAACGAAAGTAGGCAGCCGACCAACTTCATTGAAAGCGATTAGTTGAAAGGCGAAACGTCAAAAAAACCCTTGCTTTGCTTATATGGCTTTGCCACGCCACCCTAATTACGTAGTTCGCTTAATCATTCGTAATTCGCACTCCAATTACCCTTCGAATTTACGTAATTCGCCATACAAAATTTTGCGAGCGAATTACCTCGTTTGATGGTAATTCAGATCCAATTACCATGCGAATTACGAATAAATCGTTGCCATTTCTAATTTTTATCGGAAATTTATCGAAACTAGTTCACATATCGGAATTTGCATTTTTTCTGAGTACGAAAAGTAAAGTTATAAACTTATAAATTTTTAGCAATAACCTCCATTTTGCATCAATTTTGCAGTGAAGAAAACTAAACCAAAACACATTGGGCCAGTTTTTCAGTGCCAGTTTAAACCTAGTTCAAGTAACTCAGTTTAACAGCTGGCTTACATTTGATTGGCTAATCTTCGTTTAAACCGTCCAGCTCGGGCGTTTAAACTGAGTTTAAACCACGGCCGTACACTGAAAAACTGGCCCATAGACAGAACTGTCAAATCGAATTAAGGTTGTGCTCGTAGGAATGGTTTAATTCGCGATAGTAATTGGGGTAGTGGGAAAATGGCATTACCGTGAACTAGTATTAGGAGTGTTCGCTATGCAAAAAATGTGTACAAGTTGGTACCAATTGTTACCAAGTCGTGTTCGTTTAGCCAAAAACCCAGTAAAACTTGCAAGGAGAGATTACAATTTTGACATTTCATTTGGAGGGGCAAAAATTTTCCCAGCACGAATTTGCAAGCAGGATTGTGGCACACGCTTGCATTTTTGTCAACATTAATTTGAATAGACGAGTTCGTTAAATTTAAAAATGAACAATCTTGTTGCGATTTATTAATGAAAGAAGTATGTAGATATTCGTTTATTCAATTAATTTAATCAATTCCAAACATTTGATAGGTACTCGGCTGAAAAAGCTGTATTCGTAATCGGAAGCACTCGACACCACTGTCAATATAGGAAATCCGACAGTGACTTCCACAATGAAATTGAAGCGTATGTTGAAGAAAGTCAAAATAAGAAGAAATATACGTATAGGTCCTGTTTTGATTTCCACCTGAAATAATTTAAGAAATTTATTATGCTCGAAATGCAACCGTGGACGCCAGCTGGCAGTGAAGCTTGCTTGTTTGCTAATTCCTGTTCGCGCAAAACTTATTAAGTTTCTCTCTTTTGTAGATTAAGGTACCTTGTTCTCTGAATTTTGTTACTGGCTAATTCTTACTGGCAGTTGGATAGCGAACACTCCTATTCTCTAATCAGAGAACGTACGTTCTCTGCGCTAATACAACTCTGCACCAGCTGAATTTTGCATTGCAGACATACATTTTTTTACTGGGAGTTTAATAATCGTGTGAAAATTCTGAAAAATCGGAATTTTCGGCAGTAAAAATAGTGTTTTAAAGCAAAAAATTGATTTACAACAGATCTCGTGATAAAAGAGATCTAGATTGCATGAGAAAAAGATGTCTTACTACAATATGACCCGCCAACCAGTGCGCGAGTACGCGGGCGGCAGCGTCGGTGGCATACTACGCAAAAGTGGCAGCAGCACATCCTCCAACAATGGCGTATACAACAGCTACACGTCCACATCCAACACAACGGGCCTGAATGCAGGCGAAGCCCGTCAAGTGGATCTGCTTGTTTTTGGATACGCCTGTAAATTGTTTCGTGACGATGATAAGGCACGAGACATCGATCATGGCAAGCATATGATACCATGGATGGGCGACCCAACGCTCAAGATCGACAGGTTAATAATTGTTGCTACCTATGTATATACTACAAATATTCAAATTTTGTAAGATTTTTGTACCTATTTCAAAATTAATTTATCTATAAATTGTAATGTCTACTATTATGATTTTTCGTGCATTAGTGCAGTGTATGTAATAGTTTTATAACCTCCAAGAAGCAGAACATCAAACAGTCGCACCACAAGTACAAAACAAGAACAGCCAAAAGGTCTCGCTGACTATTAAACTTTTTGTTTCAATGCAGAGTTTATTTTAGCATGTTTATATCGGTAATGGCTTTGGGCATGTAGCAAGGTTCATTCGTTTTGTTTTAAAATGTGTAAAACAGAATTTTATAGGCGCAGAAGTTGTACTTATTACCTGAATATAAATATGCATATATTTGCGGACAAATTTTTTTTTTACAGTTAACGTTAGTTGGCCTTCGATACGGGTTAGTTTCGAATCGAACTTTCGATAAATACAAGGAGTTTTACTCTTATATGCTTTGTCACAGGGACTGTAACTATTGCATAATTTTGATTCTTACTACATATCAATCCAATCTTATGCTGGTTCCAACTTAAACTGCTTGCTACACAAAAATTAATGTTGACGTCAAAGAAAAATAGTCGCGGCTTTGCAAATCGACTTATGACCGTGTCACTCAGCTTGTTTCATAACCGCTTGAAAATCTTACCTCATAATCTTGCATAACCACCGTAGTATTGTAAACAAATTTATTTTCTAATAATCACTTTATCGCAAAAATCATTTTTTAGCCAAAGGAACGGTATGTATACAACATTTGTAAAACTTTGATTAACAATTTACATATTTTTATATGAGCTCTTAAATATCTATAGAAAATAAAGCACAATAATGCTTACAAAATGCAGTAAGCGCAGTGCGGCTATTTTCTGTAATATTTTTCTTCTCATTTACCGAAAGTATTTTTTTCAGTTATAAACATTTTTATAGCATTTTATTTTTAAAAAAATTGGTTTCGAATTTATATTTAATTTAAATTTATCTTTCTTTTTCATTCGCCGAACGCTTCTTCCTGAACGCGCACAAAAAATTCATCCAAATAAATTCTTTCTCGTCGCGCATTATTTGGGGTTGTTGATATCGCACAGATATGACGTACGTGGCGCTTTGTCTGAATTGGCTCCGCATGAACCGCCGCCGGGCGGCTATGGCAATCGCCTCGATTACCTGAGCGCCGAGGAGCAACGCGCCGAGCAATTGTGCGAGGAAGAGCGTTATTTGTATTTGTACAACAATGAAGAGGACCATATACTGCGACAAGGTAAGCAAAAGTGACTGTACAAGGCCTATGCCAAAAAGCCCGTCAAGCTGCTAAGCTATCAACCGACAGAATGTTTATCACCACTTGTTGGTTTCTTTAATGTTCAGAAACTTTTTGTAAATACATATGTACATATGTATGTGTAATTATTTGAGAACGTGCAAAAAAATAACGATACTCAAAACAATGAAAGAGAGACACATTAGCTATGATTGCGATATATCTAATTAGATGTTAGCTAATTTAGCTTAAGAATCGTGTATAAAAACGAAATTTCGAATGACAAACTGTAGTGCGCTTTACACGTAAGTAGCTTTAAAACTTAAATGCGACGCAAAAGTGTGATAAACTCCGTTTACTGACAGCGAGGGACTCGTGCTCGCCATACGGGGCCTCTGCGTCGCTTGCATGTTCGGTTCGCTTGTGACCAGGTAAATATGTGTATTTCATTGCTTGGTACTAATGTTCCATTTCAGATCAAAGCGCGTTGCTGCGCCAAAAATGCCAACATCAAAATCTGCAGCAATAAGAGTAGCAGCAGTAGCATCGGCAGCTGTGAACGTTCAGACAACACTTCCCTGTTGCCAAAATATTAGCCAACTTCGTACAACTCACTCTAATGTCTCTAGCTATAAAGGCTGTTACAATTTGTTTGAAATGTTTATTTTTTAATTTATAACAAAACGAATACGCTAATACTCTTGTGTAAGATGTTTTGTTTATGTTGAGATCGCATTTGATAAACCACAGATTCTTTTCTCCTAAAAAATCAAACAAAAAAAAACCACCCAAAAAAATTTATAAAAAAAAGAAAAGAAAAAGTTCACATTTAATGCAACTGCATTTGCCAATTTGTGTAGGCGTAGCTGCTTTTCAGTCACTACCAACGAAGACTCATTTTGGTTTCTCTTTCTCTGCCATTTTTGTTTTATTTGGTTGAAACGTAAAACGCCGATGTTGCTGGGTACATACATATCTCAAACCATAAAACACCAATGCCATTGTCGATGTCTTACTTGCGCCTCTACACAGAGGAGGATCTGAAGCGCCTCAAGCAGGATGTCGAAGGCGGCAACTATGCGCAAGTGGACTTCCAATATGGCAACGATGGCGTCCCTGCTGTGCCACATGGACCGAGTCGCGAGGAGCACTGTAATTCACCAAGTGGCGAGGAAGCCGAGCAGGCTTTTAGTCTGCCCAAGGATTTCGTAGTGCCTGCCAGCATACTATTGGTGAGCTCTTCTCAGTGCACTTTATTGCCACTTTAAAATTAAATCGCTAAATATTTTGTACTCGCCCTGCAGCCTGAAACAATGAAGCAACACGCCATTATCGAGAAAACCGCACGCTTTATAGCCTCACAAGGTATGCAAATGGAGATACTGCTGAAAGCCAAGCAGTCAAATAACGTACAATTCGAATTTCTCGCCATAAATGGCGCGCTCAATCCCTACTACAAATTCATATTGAACGCTATAAAAAATGGCACCTATCCTGCGGAGCGTTTGACGCCACCGCCCAATGAAAAACATGAAACTGGGGCAGCCAGCAGCAGCACAGCTACGGGGCATACCGCTCATATGCCTACTAAACCAGTCATCACCGTGCCCACCATCAAGTACAAGCCATCGGCCAATTGCGCCTATACACAGCTGATAAGCAAAATCAAGGGTGTCCCACTGCCAGCTGTCATCGACGGCGAATTGGCCAATATGCCAACATCGAATTCGCCCATACCAAGCACAACTGCTGGCGCTAATTTTACACCCGTGTTACTGCAGTACAATGACAGCACGTACGCTTCTGCTGAGCCGGAGGCGGGAGAGGGCACCACAAACTCGAATTCGAATTCTCAATCGAATGGTAATGTGAAAACGGAGGTTGAGGTGTTGATGAGTTCCAGCGCTTTGGCCTTGGCGCAGGATTACGCCTCTGATACGGAGTCGGAAGCGGAGGAGCAGCAACCGAAAACGCCACCGCCACCTAAATTTGAGCCAGTGCTAAACTTTCCTGTCCCAACGGAGACTCTGAAGAACATCATTGATAAGACAGCGACATATGTCATCAAGAATGGACGTCAGTTCGAGGAGACACTGCGTGCTAAAAGTGTCGATCGTTTTACATTTTTGCTCTACGACAACGAATTTTATCCCTATTATTTGTATAAGGTCACCGGTGATCCAGATGCGGCATCGAAGGAGCAGAAGCAGCGAAAGGCAGCTGCAGTGGCAGCGGCGCTGATGAGTAAAAAGGGACTACAGACGGCCGAAAAAGCGATCTGTAAGCGATTGAATCATTTTCTGCTCAATTAAATTTCTGACTCAAATCTTCTACTTCTCTAGCGCCCGTTTGCTTCTCTATTAAACCGAAGGAAGAGTCCACTGCGGCTATTTTGCAACCTGCTCTACCGCACGAGCCCAGTGACGACGACGATGAGGAGTGCACAGCGAAGCCTGCGGCTACTGGGCAAGCGCGCTCGGTTCCAGAACATGTGCAGAAGGCTATACAGCTGGTGGAGAGTCAGTTGATGGCGCGTAATGCGCAAATTGCGGCCACGGTAGGAAGTCGTAGCGCGGCCAATGCTGCAATGGCCGGGCCCCCGTTACTGGGCTTGCGCGCGCCAGCTATTCAGCACCAGCAGCTGTCGCCCGGCAATCGTTTCGATGCCGATTATAATAGCAGCATTGGTGGCAACTCGACAAAGACGCAGCTGAAGATCTCCAAGGCGGAAATGGAGCGCAATGCTTTGTTCGAACAGCAGCAACAAAATCGGCAAAAGGAATTGAAAAAAGGTGAGTGCGCGAGTTGTCAGCTGTACATTTTTTTAAATATTCTTTTCTCCCACATAGCCGAGGAGAAAGTGAAGGACAAATTGGCTAAAATTGCACGTGAAAAATTAGGCGGGCCAATTTCAAAAGAAAAACAGCTGCAGTTGGAGCGTAAACGCAAGGCGATGGCGTTTCTTAATCAAATTAAAGGTAATACTGCAGGTACTTAGTTAACTTTGTCCCTTATTATTTATTATTCAAGAGGATAGGAGTCATAGCGGCAATCATTTTTCATAGCCGAGCAATATTGCCAGTGCCTATTGAAAAATATCCAAGCTTTAAGGTTACGATATGTATCTATGTACATATCCTAGCTACCATGTCAAACTATCGACAATGTGACAATCGGTACTTTTCAGGAGATCAAAGAAACTGTTGTAAAAAATGTTGTCATTAGGAAAAATTGTGGGATTCGACAGTATCCTCTGCTTCTAAGAAGGCTAGAAATTCGACGATTTGCCAACTTACGTTCTAAACGCATTTTTGCACATTCGATAGTTTGGCATGGTGGCGACGATATGTACGTTTGAGCTCTCTTTCATCAGCCATTTAGTAATGTTATTGCAAAAAATTGTAAACTCTGTGCTAAAAAATTGATGCTCGTCACCGCAAATTCGCCTTGGTATCCGTCATAACGTGCATATCGTTTGTCGGACAAAAAAAAAGGAATATACTGCGCAAAAATCCTGTTTCGCAGTATCACCATTTAAAAATAAAAGCATTTTTTACAGTACATTACAGGCACAGTTTTCCAATAAAATAAAGAAACTCCTGGTATGGTACAAATAATACCATTGATTGATGTACAAAAATTAGAAAAACTCAAAAAAGTTGCCCAATAACCATGATTCAATAATTAATTAATCAATTAATTTTAGACGTTCAACAATACTTTTTAAATTAACTACTCATGAAAGAAGAATTTCTTTAAAACTTTTTTTTTATTTGTCATGCCGATCAACCCTTTTGGATGTTCAGCCTCAACTGCCGCCATTGAAGACCATTTTAAAATTTTCATTGCCGTCCTTTTATGACTTTCAGTATGAATCCAAAGCCTGTGTATCCACAAAAATAGCAGCAACATAATAAACAAATATACTCATCAGAGACCAACTGCTATCAAGCACATTGAAAATATTTCACAGACGTTTCTAAATCACTTTAACAGCATATTTTGATTTTGATTGGAATATTTTGAGAAATTAATGCATAGCAATCGCAGAGTGGATCCATCCCTCCTGCCTACTTGTGGCACATTAAACCTGCCCTGCCCACTGTTTGGGTTGATAACATTTTTAGTACGTCAAGGCATATGTTTGTACATATGTATGTATTTTAGAATCGCCATGTGAGCTACTATTTGTTGGATTTATAATCAACACTTATCAGGCCACATGGGTTTATTGCTTTTAGCACATCGTGTTATGAGTAATTAAAGATAATGACGCCTCGAGATGCAAAGTCAAAGTATCAACATATTCATTGACATAGATTCATAAAAATATTCCATGTGGGGCCAATTTTACGGCGCTTATTCGGAAATTCTTCGGGGTTCCAAAAAGGTAGTTTGATAATGAAATAAAGAAATGAGAGGGTATTAGTTGGAGTATGATGGATCTATCGTCGAAGAAAATTTAGTTCAAATATATTTTCGTTGTTAAGAAGAATAATCGAGTTGGCTTAGCTTAAAGAACGAGTCCAATCCACTAGTAATTTGTATGATGGCGTGGACTAAAAAAATTGTATACAGAAAAGCAATCGGCAAAAACCGATTATTGAGCGCATTTCTTTCATGAAGCTTGCCACTATAAATAAGTGAATTCCAATCCTATTGCAAGCTTATCTACCATCTACGTCCAGAGAGATTGATCTTATATTTTTTTTCTCTTCAGGCGCCCCCTCCAGTGCTTCGAATGCGGACCAAAACAGCACCAATGCGGAGGAGAATGCATCTGATTCTGAAGAATCTGTACACTCAATACCTATAACTTCGTATGGACCAGAGGATGATGGCAAGTCTGATGAGGAGGAGAAGCTACGTTTGATTGAGATACCCACAACTCATATCGCCGGCGCCACGCCCGCACCTGCTCCAACCAACTCGACTTTAGCAACGAAAGACGCACAAAAGACTAAGTCTGCCGCCACAGTGACCGTCTCCGACGACGATGACGTCCAACTAGTGGGCGAAATAAAGCCAATGGCGGCGCGTCTTTCCGTGTCCAAACCACGCAAAGAGCGAAAACGTAACCTGCGTTCGCGTGCACGCGATAGTTCACCAGACGCCACACCCGCTTCGTCCAGCACAGCACGCGTGCGCAAACACGCGCGTCGGCGCCGGAGTCCTTCGCCCAGCCAATCGTCTGATGGTGATGACAGCGGTTCCTCTTCAGACTCAACAACGTCAACGTCCTCGTCATCATCTTCAAGTACTTCTGACTCTGAGTCTACGTATCAAAGTGATGACAGCACTGACACTGAGCGCTCACGCTCGCATCGGAAACACAAATCCATGGCAAAAACTGGGAAAAAACCTAAAACACGAAAGTCCTCAAAGTCCCGCAAGTCAGCGAGTCGCAGAGCGCGCAAGAAGAAATCGAAAAAACGTGTGCGTAGCCGTGAGGACAGAAGCATTGAAGAGTACAAAGACTACAAAGCGCTTGAGTGCACACGGGAGCGCACACATAAGAGTAAACGCGAGCGAGAGCAAGAGGACGCATATGAGCGAGAATACGAGCGGCGCAAACGTCATCACCGCAGTGAGGACCAAAGTCGTCAGCGCAGCACATTGCCCGTCCCCACAGATAGCTCATTACAGCGACGACGGGAACGCATGCAGCGCAGTGCTTCGCAAGAGATGAGAAGAGAACGTGAACACGAGCGAGAGCGTGAACGTGAACGTGAGCATGAGCGTGAACGTGAGCATGAGCGTGAGCGAGAGAGAGATCGTCAACATCGTGAGCGACGCGCACAACGCGATGAAAAGAAACGTGAACGAGAACGAGAACGGGAGTGTGAACGTGAACGTGAACGTGAGCGCGATCGCCCACACACGCCAACACGTCGCTACGACACACCAGCACGCAAGGAGAAGAAGAAGAAACACGAACGTTAGCGCACAGTGATGTTCAACGCTGAAGCCACTACCTATCTACATACAAACACATGTATGTAGCACATGTGTAAGATTGGGCAACCTCAGGCGGCGGTGATAACTGCCGCATGGGAGTGGGTTTGTCGTTCCAAAGAGCGATAAGGCATTGGCGCGCTTTAGGGTGCGTTGCCGCTGCCTTGCGCTGTGACTTGGCCGTTGGGTGCACGCGGCACAGCGTGTGCGCGACACACAAATGCATTTTCATAAATATTTTTATTTTTATTTTTATTGTTTTTGTACTAGCTATGTAAGCTGAATGTGTGGCACGTGTTGCATATCGTTGTTTCTGTAATTATTAATGCGGCAGTTTGTAAAGTAATAAAGCAAATAAAACGAAGAAGTGAACTATAATTTATCGTGTCACTTCAAACTGGACTGATTCTCAAGAACTTGTGAAGGCTAAGAGGAAGTAAAAATTTTATCGGCGTCTGTTCGCAGGAATTTTTATTCATAGTTTTCTTATTCATTATTCGTAGCGATATTCTCGGACATACTATTTATGCAACAGAAAACGTGATGTAGATAAGGGCTGAGTGGGGTAAATAATTTCGCATTAAAATGTTGTGATGTCAGGCGCGGTGAGAATGCGAAAAGTGTAAATTCATTTGCAATGCTAAAAATGGAGATATTAAGAATCTACGATGTATGTTTGCTACCCGATTTGGGCACCAACTTTCGAACATCATTTTGAATTTCCTAGCTTTTGCAAAATTTGTTGAAAAATCAAATTTCGGTTTTTCGAACACTAATTTTGAATTTTCGAACTTCTTATTATGAACAGCACTAAACAATTTCCGGATTGATAGAGTTGAGACATGGAGCGAATTTCGAAAATTCGAATTTTCCACTATTGCTCTAAACAGCCAAATTTCAATACTTTTAGAATAGAAAAATTGTGGGGAATGTGCCTACAATGAATTTATTATTGTCTAATAAATAAAATGAAAAATTAATGCGTTTGTTCGAGTTGCAATCACACCCGCTCAAATTTTTAAAGCATCACATTTGGTGTGAATTTCTATTAACAATTTATCAGTTGGGAAGTTGCAACAATATTGTAAATTTGCATCAAAGCTGCAGTACCGCCATTTTTATTACGTGAATATGAATATTCAATATAAAAATTAGCACCCTTTCGGAATTTTTAATTTTTAAAATACCAATCGCAACCAAATACACTTATTTTACTATTAATTCTAATTAACTGTTTTTTTTTTGCAAGTTTTTATTGACTTTCACTTGTGTGTAATAAAATTTTGCAATGAATAATGTTTGACCGTTTTCTCGATGATCTAGAGGCGTGAAACTTCAAAATTTACTCAGAACCCGATGATGATCAGAGCATTATAAAAGAGGAATTAATCCGCTGGTGCCGCAGGTGTCGAGATATTTGAAAAGCCTGCATTTATGGTCCCATTTGTTTCGTATTTAGAACATATGTATATTACTTAAATGTAAAGAAATAATTCCACAAAAAATTTTGTCGAATTTTCTTATTTTTTATGAACCACTTGTTTTTAATAATTAACAATTTAGAAAATTATATTATATAATTATATATTATATTTTTTTATAAATTCGCTGGCATTATATAACATTAAACTTATAAGTCTATTGACAGCCACTGTATACAAAAGCTCATGTCATTGCTGGCTTAAAAGCTAATTTACATTTATAAAAATAGTGTATGTGCATACATAAGTTTGAGGTATACATACATATTATATATAGTTTATATATGTATATTGAGATGTAAATGTTGTCGGTATATAGTTAGCCCCGTGAAATGATTGCGATGCGACTTTAAAGCTTTTCTCCATTAAAACTCAACTCCAAATCAAGCAGCCAGAATGTTAGAACTCCAAGACACCAGGAAGATACTTGTCAATCAATGTCTGGTAGTAGGGCCACAGTGCTTCAATATCGGGCATCTTTTCGCTCTTTGTATACAAATCATAGCGGCTGAAAAGAGGAAAAGAAAAAATTGATTTTCGAGTTCACAATTTCCCGAATATCCGCCACTCACTTGAAGATCAGCACCCACTTCTTAGTCTCGTCGTCACCGGGCGCTTCCAGGTGCTTGTAGTCGCCACCATTGTGCCAGGGGTAGAACGAGTGGAAGCGTATGATGTTGCATGCCACATGTGGCAACTTGGTTTTGTTGTGCTTCAGCACGTGGTACATGTATTCATCGTGTCCCCAGGACATTAGCAGGTTACCAATGCCACAGTTTGGTTCATAAATGCCATATTTGGTGTTGTATTTGGGATTCTCGCCATCCGGATTGCCTTCGAAGCTGTCGCTGCGATAGACAATGCTGTCGCCCCACTCGCAGCCCACGGCAAAGCTGTCGCCCACCACGGCCCATTGTGGCTCATCGTAGAAGGCCATCACTTTGCCAAGATCGTGTATGAGTGCGGTCAGGTGTAGCCAATCGAGTTCGGGGAATTCTTCGCGTGCGCGTTCTGCCGCCTGGAAGGCGTGTACAATGTTGGGCAGATCGATGTCGGGATCAGATTCGTCGACCAGATCGTTGAGCTTCTCAAGCGCTTCGCGAACTGTGGCCTTGAAGGTGTTGAACTTCAGCCATCGTGCGTGACGGCCTGTGCGAGGGGGAAGGCAGAGAGATGAGAAAGTTAGTGTGGAAAAGTGAAAGGTATGTTGTCTATATTCTACTAAAATTTAAAATTTTTTTCGAAGAGATTTTCATAAAATTATACATACATATATCACAACTTAAAGAAATTTGCAAAAATAAAACATTAGATAAAAATTAATATTTGGAAAAGTAAATTATTTTAAGAAAAATTTTGCAAAACACTTCGAGATTATTTTAAATAATTTGGAAAGTAAATACGAAAAAAAAATTAAATAAAAATGTTCAAAATCCAAATTTTCAAAGAATATTGTCTTACAATTTTATAAATTTATGCATATTGCAGAAAATTTTTATAGAATAATTTCCAATATTTTCCCAATATTTTTTATTCTTGATTAAACTTACAAAAACGCTCATATTTTGCATTAATTTTGTAACTTATTTAATTTGACTTGTTTTATTTAATTAAATTTATTTTTATATTTTCCTTAAAGTTTTTATTTCGTAGTTATTTTTTTTTCAAAAAATTTAAATTATAAATTTTTTATTTTAAAACTACATTCGCTTACTTTTTACAAAATCCACAGTTTGGTTCAGATGCATTTCGCGATAGGTTCTGCGAACACGCTCCTTCAAAGGATCCTCGGTATCGATGCTGTAGTCGCGGAATTTCGAGATGCATTTGTCTGCGAATGAGGCTTCGGGACGCAAGAGTTCAGAAGGATCGATGAGTTCGATTTGCTGCAAAAATTGTTGGATTTTTCAATATTTTTTTGTTTATTATGTGTTTAGAGACAATACAAAAAAAAAAGAGAAAAGAAAGAATCAATAGTTAATTTTTTCAAATATTTTAGAAAAATATTTTTACGCAAGTAAAAAATTAAATTTTTCCTTATTAGTTGCTGTTGTTTCCGACAGGGTGTGGATCCAAAATACATCATAAAAAGAAAAAGTTGAAGAAACGAAGAATTGTTACCAGCAGTGAAAAAATATCTCTCTATCTAATATTTTAATTTGGTGAATAATTTTGTTGAAATTAAAATATTTAAATCTTTTAGCTCTTCATTTTGTTTTTCTTAAAAAATCTTTCATCTTTCATCATTTTTTGCGCCTCACTCATTTTGTCTTTTTTTAATATAAAACATTTTAGATTTCGTATATTTTTTGCTTTACAAGAGTCGTCGTACACTTTGTATCCTGTTTAAGTTGTCACGTATTATAAAATACATATTTTCTTATGTATGTACATACATACGTACACATGCATTGTTTTTTTGTTAAATATTTTTTTGATTCTTCAAAAATTTAAAAAATATCAAATTTCATCCCCTTTACCTGATCCAACAACAGACGCATTTTTTGAGGACACTATAATTGCACTCCGTAACAATAAGGAATTTTATTAAATTTTCAATATTTTTCAACAGTATAGTTCCTTTTTCACTTTTTTATTTAGTTTTCTTTTTTTCGCTTGGTAATTTTCCACAACTACGTGTTCGCTTACGACCCGCACTTTGCAAGTTCTAAATCGCTTTTGAATTTTTGAGCAAGGAGCGGCGCAATTTTTATACTCACCAGTAGGTATAGCCGTCAATCAATGTGTATTAACTATCGACGAGCGATCTCGTTTGGCTCGTCGGAATATAGCGCCGAACAGCTAACGAGCGTCGTCGATACGGCGAATCTTGATCACTACAATCGCTCGCTGGAACGTTCGGGGCAGTGCCTCTTCGATGGAGGCGCGCAATCAATGATCGAAGTACAAAAAAAAAAGTGCAATAATAAAATTAAAATTAAAAAAATATAAAAATTAAAAACGAATTGAGATAAGGTACAATTATTCATAATACGCGCACTAAGTATGTATGTACATACGTATGTACATACGTAAGTATTTACATACAGACATATGTAGTGAATGCAAAAATTTCTAATCTTACTTTTATGTTTTGACGCCATTTGTTACTGCACAATTGTAGGACTGACTTTCTTCAATTAATAATGTATTTTCTGCTATTTCATAATATCAATGGTGTTTACTTTAGCATTTTGTTAGTTATTAATATATTGTTACATTGATAGGCATTCACCTAAGTTGTTGAACACAAAAAAAGATTGAAAAAAAAAAATGAAAAAAATGCAGATAATAGTAAATCGCAACAACATGATTGAGCTTAAAAAATCGCGCGGTCGAATCTCAGCAGAAAAAAAAAAAAATTAAAAAAAAAAAAAATGTGAGAGGCTGTGAATATTAATATTGTAAACCTTAGATAATATAGCCTATGACCGTCCGTGCTGTTTATGGTTATCGTTGATCCTTATGACCTCCACCATCATTTTTGACTCGTACATACATAATTTACAGGAATTACATACACATCTATGTACTTATGTATAACAATACTTGAAATGCAAAGTAAATCCTTGTTCCAGATGATAATCAAGATTTGCTTTGTTGTTTTTAAGTTAGTACAATATCTAACGACCTGCAAAAATATACATACATATGTATGTACATACATACATATGTATGTATATATGAACATATAAATTCATGGTGACAAGCCTTTTTTCAAGGCCAGTTTCAATAAATTTGGTTTTCCGTTAGACCTTGCCGCTCAATGACTCAAAAGTTGACTGCTTGCCGTTTAATCTTTCATTGCGTGCGCGTCACTTCCGGTCCCTCAAAACAAGCTTTTCAACCAGTTCCTTGCCCTAAAAAAAAAATATGTAATTAAAAAAATTTATGTTTATAAATACATATACATATGTATATTCCAATTACATTTATTGTATTTTATATATTTTAAATTTAATTAATATTATTTCTTGTTTAATTTTATTTCTTTTGTAATTTTGCATTTTATTTTTGAATTTAAATTTTTTGAGCATTTTTGGGTCCTAATGAAAGTTTTATGCAAATTGATTTGAATTAAATTCGTTGAAATTTCATTATAAGCACACTAGCCATAAAAATGCAAATCTCCATGAAAATCATTCGTTTTACGTACTTAGTTTTAAGGCGAAATTAGTCAACAACGTAGCGTAAACGTACGTAGCGACATATCAAATTTACTGTTAATAGAGAGAGAGCAAGAAGCAACGACAATGGCACCGTCATGCGGTGGTGAGTTTTAGTTGACAAGCAAAGCCCTTCGTGTCAGCTTACACGTTCTCCGATTTTACGTCGTTGGCTAACTGCGCTTTAAAGCATCACATCTTAAATGACGTTCAATACGTTGCTGTAATCACCGGCCCTTGGTTGATTGATGATTTTCAATTCAGTTTTGTTCAAAATAATTTTCTGTTTATAATAAAGGCATTGACGTTGCTAAATTATAAATTTGCCACTCACATTCGCAAAGCATTCAAAACCTAATCAATGAGTTAATAATTTTCCATGAAGATAACCTTTCCAAACTCTTATCATCAATAAACATTCTAATCAGCTGTTTGTATTTTCCCTAAGTCTTATAAACTCTTGAATCTTGATAAGTTCTATTGGAAAATGTTGCTTGAAATCGATATTTTTGACATGAATATTGAATTAGCGAAAAATTCTTCGCATCCTTGCTAACTTAATTTTCAAGTGTGTTTCGTTAATTATTGTTATACTTTTTTTATTGCGGTACAAGAATAAATCCGTCGGTGTTGCTAATGGAGGATACATACAATTTTCAAGTTCACTGGAAGAATCTAGCATTATGGTAATACCGTTCTTTAAACACTTTAAACACCGCTCACTAGCCGAACCAGATGTTTCAGGCTACAATGCTCGTATACAATTTGTTTGCCAGATTTACGTTTCATCAGTGCACTTGCCCCACATTAGCATTCGCAAAAGCCCCGCATTAATTATTGCGAATGCGAATATTAAAATCAATGCGGAAGCACCGTGGTGGCGAATGCGATCATTCGCTTCAACCCTGATCAGTAGCAAGTACTAAATTAGCGTAATCTATTATTTCCAAAAATATGTAGAGCGTATTTAGGTTCCGCGTCGCATACCTGGCAAGGCCTCCTATACAGCACGTTTTGTGAGCAGACGATTTTATGTGAACAGCAAATATCATACAAACGCACCCTGATGGGAAAATCCAACGCTGCTCAATTAAAGAATCGAAAGGAAAATTTTAATACTGCTTCATTTATATATAGGGCCAGTTTTTTAGTGCCAGTTTAAACTTAGATTAAGTAAACTGAGTTTAAATTGAGCAGCTGGTTGGCATTTGATTGGCTGACCTTAGTTTAAACCAGCCAGATCGGGCGTTTAAACTAAGTTTAAACCACGGCCGTGCACTGAAAAACTGGCCTATAGAAATAGAGGTCTCCATACAATGCCGATCCTGTTGTTGTCTT